CTTTTTTTTAAATATGTGCTGCACAGTAATGAAATAACTGCAAAACTCTTGTCTCAGGGCTCACTAACATTGATATATAGTTTTTTAAAATATATTCTCCAAATTCGTCATCATCAGTTCATGGATTATAACCGAGATTTCTCAGTATGGCTCGAGTCAGTTGAATGAAAGATTTAACAGAATACTTTTTCCTATTACTAATATGGGTATATCTGAAGGCAGAACGTCTGATATGTTTGATTTAGACTTTCACAGTGCTTCTTGATTTCTGATTTCTGAAAATTTGTTCTCTGGTCCACTCGCTTAATGTATCTTTATTGCTAAACAAATACGTTGACACATTCAAGTCAACCATAACGTGACAAATCAATATATTCGATTTTCGAAATATATTTTTGTTGAAAAATAATGTAAAACTGTCATACAAAAATAATTTAAGTTAAGGTGGGTATACAACCTTTTGAACAGATCGCGGCAAATTAAGTTCAGTCACAGTAAATGTAATCGATTTTTTTTTTGAGGACAAAGTTCTTTGGAATTTTTTTATCGAATCCAGGGTTTGCTTTTGTTGGAGATAATCTTACACCTCAATAGTCAAATGTTCAGGTAGTTGAATACCAAGAACAATAAATTTAGGTAATTCCATTATATGAGGCTTTCCTTTTGATAATTTCTTTTTCAAAACTTAAGGGTACATTTTCGACTCTCATCCTCAACGATAAGTCGATAGGTTTGCTAATTTGTTAGCAAATTTTGACATAGCTCATTCTAATTGAGGAAAGGTTTGAAAATAATTGTTCACAGATGTCATTTGATATATTAAGGGTGAATTTATTGATGGACGTGAACAAAAGCAAATAAAGTATTTAAATATTTTTCAACAAATATCCATTTATTCAGAGGGTCGAACTGTATCCCATCCTTGAGCTCAGCTTTCAGCTTGATTTGAGTTGTTCAGAAAAACTGTTATTAAGAAATTTAATTTTTGACAATGAACATATTTGAGATTTCGTTAGACCCTAATTAATTGTTAGGAAATCACCCTCATTAGGGTGCTAAATCTGATACCATATATTTTCATCAACTGTATGTTTAATTACACAATCAGTAGTTTTTTTTTCAAATCAAACACTTCATATTCATAACCGAGACCTGAAACCAAATTTTTTCAAGATAGGGATTGTTGAATTACACGTGATTATGAATGAATAATAATTTGTTGAAAATTAAATATTTTTCAAATATTCATAAAAATAAATCCTACTTCAGCCTTTCCAAAAAAAATGGTCGCAAAACATTTTTTGAGTACAAAGAATATAATGTTCCCAAAGACAATACTCAGATATAATTTCTTAGATTTTTCAATATTCATTATGAAAAGTAACAGAATTGTTACATACAATTCTTGTTTTGTCTATATGAGACTTGTGCAAGCTAACACAATTTTTTTCTCAGAGATCATTTGGTAGTTATATGAAACAAATTGTTTTTCAGCTTCGTATTTTGTGACAGTCTGATGGTTTTGAATGGATTTCACTATTTACTGTACAAAAATATCAGTAAAGGAATAGAATAAGCCATTTATTATATAGAAAGTCGCCTGAAGAATTTCATACGAATTTCTACAAACGATTGAATAGAACAAAATCTGGACTGATAGACCGTGGTTGAATATATATACTACCTTTATAAAACCCGTCCATAAATATAATTTTATTGTTGTCAATACATCTTTTAAAACCTAGCTGTTCTCAATTTTAGTATTTTTATGAGACATTTTTTTCACATTTCATAGTTGTTTCATCACAATGATTACTTTTCATTTATAATTTTTTCTTTCTTCGAATCGTGACATGAAAATATTCAAACCACTGTTGAAATCTATTTTTCCGTTAACTAGCTGTCACCCTCTACTAACGACAACTCTCATCAAAAGTCGAAACTTGTGCGATCTGAGGACTAACGAGGTGTTACCTTTCAACGTGTGATTCCTAACACATGTTAACACTTTAGTTATCGAAATAACCAGCTAGAGTACCGTTAAAATTTGTATGCTCAATTAAGGGACCCCTCCTTTAAGGTACCGTTCAAAAATTATGTGTCCGACACTGCTTGACGCTCACCACAGAGTTGTTATTTGCGATCGCGAGACCACATTTTAACTCTCAATGATTCTCAGAAGTCATCTTGCTTTTTATTTATTTTGTGTCTTTTCTGCTCCATGTTAATTAACGTGAGTCTACCCTCCAACTTATGACATACCATTTATATTAAGTTGTTATTGGAAGAACACAGTGAAAAAAGTGTATCCAATAAGGACTGTATATAGTAAAACTGTTTTCAGAAGGAGAATTTTATTTTATTGAAACTTGATGAACTTCTCAAAATAACAAAGTATTAAGTCACACTTATACTTTCTTAATTAAGGAGATTGTTTTATATGAGACCAGTACCATTCAAGACAAAAGTTTTTTACCACTGTACTCTTCAACATTCATTAATTCCAGTGCCGCTGAAGACTCGTTATCACTATAACATAGTTAAACACAAATTAGTATCATTTTATCGAAATTTTAAAATTGTATCCAGATTAAGAATTTTTATCAAAAGTTTTTTTCAAAACTTGAAAACAATTCTAAATGTTTATATTGGAAGTTGGTTACCAAAATGTTTATTAACTTACCGATGCTTAATTTACGGTGGGATTGACAACTGGCAACTTACACATCAGATATTTCACATACTGAGAATAAACATAAATAAAACTGAACCTTTTCATAATATTTTTTATTATACGTCATTAGTAAAGTTTCGTAGATTTGGAATTATTGGAATGTTGATGCAACATTTTTTTTTACCTACTGTGAGTTTGTGGCTAGTGTTCGGAAGGAAACCTAAAATAGTAATTGGTAATAATACATGAAAAATGAGAACTTTTTATATACGGTGAATTGATCGCCAAATTATCATGATTTATCAGTTACCATTTATCACAACAATCCGTTACCGAAACTGTTCCAGAAGTAACCGACAACAATTCATTATCCAGAAAAACCTTGTCAAAAGTTCTAAGAAGTAGCGTTTGAAATTTTACTTTTGAGTCATGGTCACCTCTGAAGTGTGGTTTGGTGTTCCGAAAATTACTTCTAATGCACTCATGTTGGAGGTCCTACAAAAAACCCTATTATTTTTGAAACACGGTTTCCTGAAAACTAGTGTACTCAATGTCAAAATACGATTCGATACGGTAAGATTGACAAAAACACATATTTTAAACAGTACCCTTTTCACCTTCCAATGTTCATAATAATAATTATTTTAGACAAAGCACTCGAATTATAGGAGTAACCTGTTGCTGGATACACTACCTATACACGTATCAAGTGTTATTTTTCACCAATAATGGAGAACTTGGTCCAAAAGTAATGAAAACCACATTTTTGGCAACTACTGTAAAATACTATACTCTGTCCAACCAAGCAACAGAGTGCTTCAAAACATTATCATGCAAAGTGCACGAGAGCTCCCAGACAAGGCTGCTTGTACAGAATCGCACTAAAGAATGACCGATTTTTTCTTTAATACGCGGCTGGAGTTAGGACATTTTTTAGGTGGAATGTAGGGACACAAACTAGCTGTTTCTTCAGCCGTATCAGTACTTGACATTTTCAAAATTTTAAACTTCAAAATACCCTATATCTACACACCACAGGCGTTAAAACATAACTGATCACTCGACACTGTAACAGCCGATTGCAGTTATATCTGATTGGCAAGTGTGCGTGGTGCACCTTTCATTGTTAAGGCTGCTTTTTTTGTTGGATGGATACAGTTTACGACAGCCCTGTTCCTATCCGATATAAATCTCATTAGTGGTACCAGGTCAGGGTATGGATATGTCCATCAAAGGAACAATTTCTCATCTTGATATTCGTAGTTTGAGTTTTCTATCAATTCTTCAGATTTTGTTAAGATAATCTTCCTCGCCTCTTCTGAACCAGACTTCATTAAAAGTTGTAACCCAATTTTCCCGAACATTTTTCTCACGCTAATTCTTCCTGAGTTATAATAACAGAAGTGCGGAAATGGTGAGTATTGAACTCATTCAAAAGTTGCACAACGATTTGTCGCCCAACTAATGTAATCTCATAATTATACTCGTAATTACATGAAGTGCAGAACTCTTCCTCATTGAAATTCCCATTTTCATTTTTTTCCGAAAGACGAAATCCAAAACAAAATATGATATATCATTATGAAATACATTGTTGATAGCAACAACTATATGATAATTGTTAAAATTATTCTTGAGCAGGATATATCTGAATATTGTGCACTATAACCATACATGAATATATTCTGCAGCATTTACTCAAAAGCTCGTACACTCGTAAGTAGCGACTGAAATCATTCATGTTACACATTGACATAACAAAAGTTACTCCAATAAATATTGTGTAACTCTTATTACTTTCTTTACAAAACATCTCAAATTATCGGGATAGCTGCAGTATACAATGTTGAGACGTTCTCCATCATAGAGGCCATCTAGAAAAAAATTACTCTTCAACCAACCCAGCATACACACTTCGAAAGTAGACAATAAATATTGTTCATCGACCCGACAGGTTAGTCCATTAGAAGGGTAATCTAATATCAATTGCCCTGGCGGAAGTTCCGTTATTTTAATGGCAGATAACCGGGTTTCAACACTTGCTTAGTTTTATATTTGCATTTTGTGCAACTTTGGAACTCACAAATGTACTTACTTTTCCTGTAATTGCTCCTAGAAATAATGATTAGTGATAAAGATTCAATCGATTTGATGAAATATTCAAGATTACATTTTAAACATGTCAAATTTCTGCGGATAAAAAAATGGGTTGGTGTGAGTACAAATCTAGAAAATCAGGTGAAGGTGAAGACAGAGGCCGATTATTAAGTGAAGGGAGTTCAAGTCGCTTAACACGAAAAATGAAAGTCAAATTTTGAGAGCTCACCGACATTTCCATATTTCATGTTACTTCTTAAAACCATCGGATCCAAATACTGAAAGTTGGCACATTTTTTGGCTCAACGTCCTCTCATTCTAGGGATTAGCTCTTCTGCAACTGGACACTAACTTCCTACACTTGACGTTCACAATTGATACCCAGTTCTAGCTTTTCAATCATATTAGGATGAAGTCAACTGATAACAGAACCACAAACCAATAACCGAAAACTCTATTTTAATGGACCAAAAAAATATACAACTTAGCTTGTTCAAAAACTTGAATTTTTCGTTGACTTGAGAAGTAATCTATTTTCTGAACTGTCACGTCCAAATGTGCAAATGTGATACGTATTAAAAAATAAGATTATATTTGAAACGAATAAAAATTCTGAAATACTAAAGAAGAATAATGTGATTGAAACAAGTTTAACTCCTTTAAAACAATAACAGATGACTGAAAATAAATGCAAGTTGAAATAATTTTCTTTGTTTTAGGGTTGAAAATGAAGCTTATTCCAGGGCATCTTCCTCCCATCGCAACAAGCACAAATATGGACCGTATTCCTTTGCCTCTATCGTTCAATGCAGATCTGCTATGGAGGTATCCATTAGGTTTTCCACCTTTATCTCACCAGAATCCACCTTCGTCTCCTTTGTGGGATTACAAAAGTCAACTTCCAGCTTCGCTTCCTTCAGACCCGAGACTCTGGAATAGGGAAGACGTAATTACTTTTTTGCAATGGTCAGAAAGGGAATTTGATATACAACCTATAGATCATGAAATGTTTCAAATGAATGGAAAAGCTATGTGTTTTCTTACCAGAAATGATCTATCTGAGAGAGCTCCCGGTTCCGGAGATGTATTGCATAATGTATTGCAAATCTTAGTGCGGGAAGCAAACAATTTGCAGAGGATGCTACCAAATAGTCCCGTTACGCCGACATCAAGACATCCGTATCCATTATCACCACATTCACATCCTCCTACACCTAACTGGAACATATTATCACAAAACAACGAATCTTCGCCTTCTTCACATGCTGCTTCACTGGCTGCTCAGTTGATGGCCCAAAGTAATTCAGTGATTCTTAGTCCTGCTCCATCGATCGACAGCCAAACAAGCAGCCCATTGCATGCGGATAACCAGGGTTTCGGACACTCTATCTTCAATGTGAATGGAAGTAATGGCAGTGGTTCTAATCCTTCGGATTCAGATGAAGATAATGCAGATAAAAAAGGTTTTAATGGAAGCCCTCCTAGCACTCCTAGTGCCTACAGTTTAATGCCTCAAATACCATATCTACTTCCTAGAAGCCCACAAGAATCGGCTTCCAGTCCTATCAGTTATAAGAATTCTGGTCGGGAGTTTTTTCCCAGTGACTGTCCTGAGCCAAATACAAGTAAGATATCAAATATATCTAATATAATATAGCAAAAACCCCAGCACATTGAAGACCTTCTTGTGTTGCTAGTATATTTGAAAATATGTAGGTCGTAACCTGGATTTCTCTGTAGACCGGTAATCTATCCAATTGTAACAATATTTTCTTCATTATTTGCAGATGGAAGGTTACTGTGGGATTTTTTACAACAATTACTCAATGATCCTGCTCAAAGATACACAAGTTACATATCTTGGAAAAATCGTGAAACTGGAGTATTCAAAATAGTTGATCCATCGGGTCTTGCAAAGCTTTGGGGAATCCAGAAAAACCATTTATCGATGAATTACGACAAAATGTCTAGAGCTTTAAGATATTATTATAGGGTGAATATCCTAAGAAAAGTTCAAGGAGAAAGACATTGTTACCAGTAAGTACATTTCATCTATTTCTCAAAGACTAAATATAATTTAAAATATTTGAATAAATACCAATTTTACAGCATGCCGTGAAAATTTATCAAAAACACTGTCCCCAGTCAAGCACTGTTGAATGATTCAGGATAGTAAATTCTAAAATTCAGATGGTTCTTTTCATGTTTCGTCAATTGTAAAAGTGGCCGTTTTAATTTGTACCTAATATCTTTTTCAAATAGGCAAAATTAATCCAAGAAACGTTTTCATAACGAAACCGAATCTATATGGAAATTGTTGACGTATTTGAAAGTTTCACCGTTCCAAAAACGCTGAATATTCAATTTGTGTTACGGGCTTCTTACAGTGTGTTTAAGCTGTTATTGCAGCTTGCAATGTCAAGTCCACTTCAATTTCAAGTTTTATCTAAGTTCTGACTACACTACTGGATTAAGTATCTCTCGAGATATGACTGTTGAAAATTTCAACAAAATCTGTTCATCAATGAAGGTTCCAAACAGTATATCACAAGTACATACAATTAAACAAGTACTCAATCGAGCTGGAGCAGTATCCATGTACCTATATTTTGAAGAATAATATACGAAGAAGGAATGGAAATAATCAGACTATATTGGGTTATTTCAGAAAAAATCCAAATAATAGTTTGAGGGTGGCCAGCTTTGATTTGAACTTACCTAGGGAGAATATTGGGTTTCTCAAAAAATGGAGTGGTTTCCTCACAAAATATTCGATATTTGGCCACTGAAAATCCTAACTGGGAAATTAACTGTAAAAGGCAGTAGGTATTCAGAAAAAGTTAATGTTTGGTGTGGAATACTGAATGAACCTCTCCTTGCAGAAACAAGAAATTTATATTTTCAGTTAGATGGCTGTCCTGTTCTTATCTAATGCGGGAATTGTGAAGAGTTGGCTGAATCAGAACTACCCTAGTCGTTGGATTGAACACGGGGTAGTAGATTAATTGGATGGCCACCTAGATCGTCGCCTGACCATACTATACTGGTTTTTTTCCTATGGGACTATGTCACACAAAATGTCTACAAATCACGACCAAGGCATCGAGCGGAACTGTGATAAGAATTCAGCAAGCGTGTGCTGCAATTACTCAGCAACAATTCCGAAATACTTTTAAAAATGTTCGCAAGCGATGTGATGAATAGAAGTTTGGTGAAGGCTACAAATATTTTAATTGCACTCATTATAGCTTCAACTTGTTATCATCTCCGATCCTATTATGTGCATTACTTGTGAATAAGAAATTGTTTTCCACTAGTTTATAGCAATTCGAAATAAATGCAGGTTTTTTGATTTGAAATTATTAACATTAAAGTTTGTTTCATAATCGGATTCATTCATATGATTCATACATTTTTCATGAATAAGTATAAGGATCTGAATTATATTTTGGTAAATATCATTCCGAATCCAGTGGTGTAATCAATGTTCCATTAAACGACAAAATTATTTCAAATTTTACTCCCTTATAATTGTTTCATTAATGAACAGATTTTGTTGAAATGTTCCAACAGTGATATCTCCTCCTAAATCCAGTGGTGGGTTGATTAAACAGCATATCTTTCAAATTTAATTTATTTATAACTTTTTTATTATTGGATGCATTTTTTCGTAACTATTACATAGACTATTTGAAATTTGAAAACGTCACAAATTCAGTGATGAACTCAATCGCTAATTTTTTTTTATTTTTGGCCTTGAAAAATAAGTTGATCCTGAAAATGACTAATAATTCATGAAACTTGGTGTCCTAGTAGACTTTGTGAATGAATGTCTGCTTCATGGAAAAAAAATCATTCAAATCGGTTGAGAAATATAGATTTTATAAGGGTGCTTCCGTCTCAAATGGGAAAGGGTGAGTCAGAATAAGACAGACAATCTCAGACTACAGATCTCTCACCGCGAGCCGCTTTGTTTTAACAGACCGGGGCAGTGCTGTGGATTTTTCATTGAACACAGGTGCTGATTTGTGTGTGATTCCACGTTGACTTGTTCGTGGCCGTCGGGTGAAAACCGGGTTCGAGCTGTCAGCGGCTAACGGCATGACGATCGCCACGTATACGGCCTGATCCCAATGAACTTCAGAATGGAACCCCGCAGTTCCCGGCGATCACTCGTCCAGATGGTGCGTGCAACACATAGTCCCAAAGAAAGGAGACGAGTGGCGTCCCTGTAGCGCTCAACGCCCTGTGGCTCCAGAGGATATTCCGGAAACGGAGATCGTTACGCCTTTCGAGATTTTCGTGTTCCCGGCGATGAGCCGGGAACACGAGAAGCTACGTGGACTGGGTTTCGTATACGCCTGCATTGACGACCTCCTTGTTGCGTCTGAGAACGACGAAGAATATCTCCGGCTGCTGTTCGAACGTCTCCAGTAGTCCGGCATCGTGATCAACAACTCTAAAAGTTGTTTTGGAGAGTCGGAGGTCGAGTTCCTGGGATACCTTATGTCTGGCAAAGGCACAACCCCTCCCGGAGAAGGTATCCGCGATCCAGGACTATCCACGGCCCAAAACCGCGAATAAACTCTGGCATGATTACCTTTTACGGACGTTTTATGCGTAGGGCTGGTCGGACCCAGGTTCCACTCAACAAGCTTCTCGAGGGCAACATCAAGGGTAAGACGCCAATTACGTCCTTCCACTGCTCATCCATTGCTCATCCGAAGTTCGGCGTCACACTCTCCTTGGCTTGCGACGCGTCAGACCACACCGTTGGAGCAGCCTTGCATCAGCTGGTGAACGACGAATGGGAACCTCTGGGTTTATTCTCGAAGAAGCTGAGCAGTGTCGAGGCCAAATACTCTGCCTACGACCGAGAACTTCTAGCAATCTTTTGACTTAACTATAACTTTGAAAAGCTATACCCCACAGAAATAGTAGTATTTTATTTTTAGTTGTTTTGGTGTTTACCACAATGTTGAATCCTATATCGCTAGTTGTCAAAAAGGGTAATAAAGTATTATTAATTTGAGGTGGGGCATCAGACTAAATTGGTAATCTCTCCAAAGGAAATAGATCATTATTTTAATAATTACCCTATAAATAGTATGGAGGATATAAATAGTAGATTGTTATTGGATAGGATTCCAAAAAGGTGATTCACCGGGTACTTCAAAGATAATTAATAATATTCCGAATAAAGGTGCCTTCGAGGTAATTGATAGTAATTAATTAAATATTTTTGGGATGGTTGATCACATACATGGTTGATCACATACATTGATCTCATCAATTTATCACTTCAGTATGGTAGATTTCCTAAAAAAGATGAAAACTTACTTAATTACACCCGTTATTAAGAGAATTTCGTTCAATTAATATCATTCCCTCGGTAGAAAAAGTTTGGGAGCTAGTAGTCGAGGAACAATTATACGACTATCTTGAAACTAATATTGTTGTAAATCATGCCCGAAAGAAAATTACGCCGACCGCCACTGGTAACCATAAACCAAACGTAACGTAGATAAGAGCGCGCGAATGCACGATAGACATTCAAATAATAGTTGAAGTTTTTAGTTGAAATGTTTGTTGTATTTGAAGTGAAATAAACTTAAGTTTGATTATTCAGTGTAGTCAATTATTGGTGAACCCACAGAGAAAAACGTAACAAAATTTTAAAGTTGTACCAATCTGTCTTTAGACCAATAACCTCAATATAAAGGTGATTAGAAAACTGGGAGAAAGCAAAGTTACTATAAAATTTGGTGATGAGGATACTTCTTATCTAAAACAATATTCTTTAGAATAAATAAATAAAACAAACATTACTCTCACTTTATTTTTCTTGGATGGAAATACACAATTTCAAAAATCCGTATATACAACATTGTTCAAAGTAATGGTAAACTATTGATGTCGATCTCTCACAGAAATTCACTTGAAAAGGAAGCTGAAACAGAAAACAAAAACTAAATCAGATAAAAATAATGTTGATCAATATTACAAATTTTCGAAATTAAAACAGAGATTAGAAAATGTACATAAACAATGACATCTGTTGACAACTGACATTCTTTGTTAATTTTATTTATTTGTTTTTAACCCTCAACTGGTAACATACGTCTGAGAGACGCGGCTAGTTACAAAATTTGCCACAGGTCGACTTAGCGCTGCAAGTGCAACCTCTCCTTCAGTGTATACCTTGTGTGTTTACCGGCAACAAGGACTCAAGTTGTTTGAGGTAAGTGCAATTTTTTTTGTAATTTTTATGACAAATTTACTAAAATACCCGTCGCTTTTTTCACAATAATACTAGTATTTTTCGTTCGTTATTGTTTTAAGCTTATTTAAAAAAATTGTTTTTAACTTTTTGGCTCGATTTTCTTTAAAAGCTTGTTTTCTTTAGTTTTTTAAACTATATTTATTAATTTTTTCATTCTTGTCCACTTCATTTTACATTTTATAATATTCATATTTGTATGTAGGCAATGAGACAATAGTCGCTTCAAATCCGGCCCGCCAGTGTCATCAATCCGGCCCGCGACAGCCAATGAGTTACTGTCATCAGTCTGGCCCGCGACAGCCAATGATTACCTAATAGTTGTTACTATTGCTGTGATAAGTTGAAGAAGAAAACAGAATGATAATAACTCGGTTTTATTTACTTGCAAGGTAAAACTTAACAACAGAAATGATGACAAAGAAAATTCAACTTAAGTATTTCCTACTCACC